AGTGAAGTAAATTATTTAGTTATTGCCCCTTTGGAGAAGCCACGGGATACGTCTGAGGAAAGAAAAAGAGAAGAAACCCCTTTCCTGGTGCCTGCCACGTGTTTTAGAATGTGGGTGGGGCTGGGTGATCCCCATGTCCTAACGTTATGGAAGAGGAAGAAAAATTTCCGCTATGAAAAGCAAGTCATTCCTGTAAGGGGGCAAATCCTGAGCAGCTAAAGCTCTCTGAAGGATCAAATACATCATAATAAAGCCACCGAAGCGGAGATGGCTAGAAATAGATTTCTTTCTCATTCCTTTGCACAGTGTAGGACCCATTCCTCAGCTAGTATGCTCAGAATCAACTAACTTTCATCTGCAGTCTTAGCGGCCTGCAGTCTCTAATCTGATGCAACGTCTTAGTCCTGGCAACACTGAGCTGTATAGAATCCACCAACTTCTGTAGTTGGAATCCTAAACAAAGTGACACCCTTCTAATTCTATCGACTTCTATCAGATTCAGGATTGCACTGCTGTTTTGTTAATCCGATCAAGGGTAACATGGTTTATCCTGCCATCTAGTGGCTAGCTCAACCATCGCAGCTTGGTTCACATTGGAAATATCGGCCCGTTATCCTACCACTCTGCTCGGCAGAGTTTGAAGCCTTCCTCCAACTTGATTCCTCCAGATAGAGTTGCCAGCTCTGGGTTGGGAAATTCCTGGATATCTGGGGGATAGAGTGGGGTTTGGGTAGGGGTGTAACGCCATCCAGTCTACCCTCCAAAGCAGCCTTCCCCCCCCCCCGGGGAAAAGATCTCTATCAATTGTAATTCTGGGAGATCTCCAGGCCCCACCTGGAGGTTGGCACCCTACCTCCAGAACAGCCTCCACAGGGAAGAGGAAGGTTTCAGATTTTGCTGACCGGAGGGAGTCCACTGGTTCGGATCCAGTGATGTGTGAACTAGGGTTGCCAGGTCCCTACCTGCTGCCGGCAGGGGGATGGCGCTTCCTTACTGGGATCTTCTGGCACATGAACTACACACACGCACCACATCACCTGGAAGTGACCTCATCGCACTAGGCACGTTGCCGGGGGGATGCTCTAGCATTTGGCCAGAAACTCTATGGTACTGTAGAGTTTTTAGGCCAAGTGTTACAGTGTCCCCCCAGGATCATGCCCGGTGTGATGACATCACCTCCGGGTGACGTCATTGCACCGGGCACATTGGCGTGATCCCAGCACTTTGGGGGCAGGGTTCTCCCCACCAGCCAGATCCGGGCCAGCGGATCGAGGGGCCCTGAAGCGGGTGTTGTACACACTGTTTAGGAAACACTTTGTACTATGCCACTGGCTAACAGTCAGTCTAACTTAGTAGGTGCACTCAACACTTCCATGGTGCATATGTTAAGTGCCTGGTTCATTGTTCAAAGGCATTCTGGGTAAAATACTAAATGCTGACAGGCAATCATAATACAGTGACCTTGCTCGTTCTTGCCAATCGTTAACTGCGCAGGCTCCTGATGTCAGTTTGCTTGCGTTAGATGAAGAACACTGCATGAGGTACTAATATTTGTTACATTTAAGAGACTTCTTGGAATTTCACAGCCTAGGAAGAAGAAGGCCTATTGTTCAAATGAAGGCGGTGTATTTTTGCCCGAGAAAACCCAACCCACAGGTTGGAGCCCAATCAGAATGGTGTGACGGATAGGTGACAAACTTTGATGGAACCAATAATTATGTTTTATTTCTAAGTGTCATAAAGTAAAGGTAAAGGTCTCCCTTGCTCAAAAGCCAGTCGGATCCGACTCTAGGGTTGCGGTGCTCATCTCCGTTTCAAAGCCGAAAAGCCAGCGCTGTACGAAGACGTTTCCGTGGTCATGTGGCCAGCATGACTAAACACCAAGGCGCACGGAACACTGTTACCTTCCCACCGAAGTGGTACCTATTTATCTACTTGCAGTGTCTTGCTTTCGAACTGCTAGGTTGGCAGGGGTATAGGGGGTATAAAATCTTATGTCATAGGGGGTATAAAATCTTATGTCTCCCATTGTAACCTTAGGGAGGCTGTGGGTACTCAGGGGTTCAAAACCTTGTTGTGCCTGTACTTTTCCTCCTTTATTAATAAAGTTTGGCTTCTCCTCTACAAGACTGCCGTGTGCTTTCTCAAATTGGGCTGGGGGAGCACAACCTTTGACGGAGTTTCTGTCTCACACGGGCAAACCCTCGCTCTCCCTGGGGGAATGGAAAGCCTGATGTGAACAGAACAGGAAATGTTCCCTCTTTACCTGAAAGCTCAGATCCCATCAAGAAAAACGGGGCAGCTTAAATTAACATACAACTTACAAGTAGGTACACTAACAAGCTTTGTGTATAGCTGGGTGTGTGTTGTATTCAGGGTTGTCTTCCAGGGGTAAATAGCACCAGGGGTGCAGCCACGCCTAGCGCTTTAATGGAGCTGAACGATGTGCACATGGAACAATGGGATGTACGAGAGATCGTTGGCATGATTTTATTTCATTTGCTTTTGAGATCATATCAGAACAAACACCCTGTGCTATACGCACACAGGGAAAGTAGCAGGGGTACAATCAGTTTCGCCTAGCACAAGCAGACAGCAAGGAAGAATTTTTCGCGCTTCCGCGAAATCTGCCATGGCACAATTCAGAGGTTTTGCACAAACCGTGGTTTGTCTGTGACATAAATGAGTTTCAGGGTCTCTCATGCTTTCAGGTTTGCTTCCTTTCAGAGGTGGGCCTGTAACGAAAGACTTTGTGCACCACAAAACTTTCAACCAGTCCTGCCCTAGATAGCCCAGGCAAGCCCGATCTCGTCAGATCTTGGAAACTAAACAGGGTCAACTCTGGCAAGTACTTGGATGGGAGACCTCCAAGGAATACCAGCAGTTGGGAGGTGGGGGCAGGCTTTCTGAATATCCTCCAGGCCCCCAGTAGGGGTCAGTCACCACAGGCCACCATGACTTCCAGGTGCACACACACTCACACACATGAAAAATACAAAAAAACCACTTTCAGCCTAACTCCGTTATGTTGCGACATCTCAGTGCCAGCTCTTTAACAAACTGAGATTTGTTTCTTACCCATAGACCAAGATTCCAAACCACTGTTTAGTCCAGATTTAAAATCCTGGCGACTGGGAAACAAACCTGCCCCTAATTTGTTCAGAGGTTTGCGTTCAAACGTCACGGCAGACTGAAGTTAAACTGAGGACTTAGAGAAAAAATTCAAGTCGTCATTTGCAGCTCCATGAGCAAAGCTGGGGAGGGGGGGGGAGAGAAGGGGAGGAGAACTTACAAGCATGAGGACTTGTGGCTCATTTGTTTCACGAACAAAATTGCTCGTGACATCGGAATGCTGTCAGATTTTTGGACGAAATTTAGGGTTTAACCCTGTATGCCTGTTTTGTTTCCACAAGATGGCATTCCGGTGTCTATCGCGGCGCATTCGGTTGAAATGATTTTTTCACAATAACAGTGGGAGAAACACTTTCGTAAAAGAAATTTCTTTCTGTTGTGCAAACGGTTGCTGTAATCACGGGGGAGAGGAGGAGTGAGGGTATACATGGGAAGGGGTGGGCAGAACACCTGAAACCTGTTACAAAGAAGTGCATGTACAAAGGCACAGATCGGGCATTCCGTTTCCCAAGTTTGAAGAGCAGCGCGGCTAGCCAACTGCATTCACAATACTGAGACGGGCCCCTTTTTGGCAACGCTTACGTGCCAGCTGGGCATCCTGATTGATCGTTTACATAGTACCATTGTTTCACATGGCGTTCCAGAGTAAAACAAAACTCTGCGCGAAGAGGCAGAAGTGCTGAGATGCAGAAGTGCCAAAGCCCATTCCAGACCAGGTCCTGATTGATCGTTTATATAGTACCATTGTTTCACATGGCGTTCCACAGAGTAAAATAAAACTCTGCGTGAAGAGGCAGAAGTGCCAAAGCCCATTCCAGACCAGGCTAGTGGTCCTTTAAGAGTTGAGCCGGAGAGAACTCCCCCCCCCCCAAGTGCAGGATCTGTCTCTTGAAACATGTTTGCTGTGGTGGAGGAGCCGACACCTCTGAGTGGCCCAACTAAAGGCCAAAAAAACCCCCTACAGATCTGCAACCCAAAGTGTGGCTGGAAATTTCAAGTCGATGTGAAATCCATGGCTGTGGTCACCTCGTTTTCCCTCCCAGCTCTCTACCCTCTTGCCCCCTGACTCCCTATCACCCCACGGTCTAAGCCACCTTGCCGTCCCAAATGCTTCCGGTCCAGAGGCATTCTCCTGTCAAACTATGTAGCGGCAAACACCCAAGTGGTCAAAGTGTTGAACTTGAAACCCAATGAGGTCTCCCTGTACAGCTTTGAACCGCGCATGCTGGTGTAAACTGTGGGGGTCATAGTTTGAGGGAAGGGCCGTGGCTCGGTGGCAGAGCACCTGCTTGGCATTCAGAAGGCCCCAGGTTCAGTCCCTGGCATCTCCAGTTAAGATGGCCAAGACTGACCTGCATGGACCAATGGTCGGATTCAGTATCCAGGTATGACTCCTCAATCAAAACTTGAAAACTGATCAATGCGCTTTATCTGGAATCGTAAGCTAAGAATTATTCCGATGAAGGTCTACTCAGAACAGAAACAGAGCTGGCGACCCGTCCATCTCATCCGAGAGAGGAGGTATGGACAGGATTTGTTACTGCTTTACACATCTGGTTTGAATATGGAGTTGTGAGCTGAACTGTCACGGCCTTTGGGTTCTCTCTCACTGGGGAAAAAAAACAACCATGTGGAATCGCTACACTGGATGTGTTATGCTTGAGGAGGAGGAGACTGGATTTATACCCCGCCCTTCACTCGAAGTCTCAGAGCGGCTTACAAGCTCCTTTCCCTTCCCCTCCCCACAACAGACACCCTGTGAGGTAGGTGGGGCTGAGAGAGCTCTTTCCAGAACTGCCCTTGAGAGAACAGCTCTGACAGAACTACGGCTTGCCCAAGGTCACCCAGCAGGTGCAAGTGGAGGCGTGGGGAATCAAACCCCGTTCTCCCAGATTAGAGTCCGCACACCTAACCACGACACCAAACTGGCTGTGAAACACATGTATAATATTGTTATCTTACAATTATTTATATGTATTGTTATTAGTGCTGTATTTCTATCCCAAAGCCACATACTTTGTGCTTTGTCTATAGGCCTTTTTCATTCCCAGCAATCCTACCCATTTCCTGTTTTTCATATGGCTGCTTTGCGTGGCCTTACCTCACGCAGGTTGGTTTTCCCGTCAAACTGACCTTTCAACTGCCCCCTGAGAATGTTCTAGTAATGCTGATTCTTTCCCCCTTAAACCGTTAGAATGTCACAGAAGGTTCATGACATCACAGCAGCTCAGCCAATGGCTGGAGGGAATTTGTTGTAGGTGTGCGTGACTTGCTCGCCAACAGGGTTTTAGCCTTTTGTGCCTGTCTAGAATGGGCTCTGGTGACTTTACCAGTATGTAAGCGGGAGGATCGAAGGCACCACACATAGACCTCACAGGCCGTGTGCCGTCACAAGACTTGAGCCTCTCCCAAAGGCTTCAGAATAACAGACACATGGGGGAGAAGCTTACAAACGTGACAATCGGGGAGAGGCCGATACCCCTTCTCCACACCAAGAGACCAGTACCAATTCCAGTCAAGAAACAGCACCCCAGAATTTCTTATTTATCCAGTCACAGTGAGAAAGCTTATTGAACCGGAGGGAATTTTACTTTCCCTTTGACTATAACGGAACTGGTTTTGAAGGCAAAGACTGTTTTCCTTGTGTGCGTCCAAGTTGTAAGTTTTCCTGGTAAGTGGAACAAAACAAAACAAAACAAAACAAAAGAATAGCAGCAGTAGGGGGGAAAAGAAAGACGGCGTTCATCCTTTTTCTTTCTTTTTGTGCCGAGATGTTGAGAATACAAATGATGGTGGTTTCCGTAAAAAAAATCTTTCTTCTGTTCGTTTTCCCAGCTGAGGAGGATGGTTAGTGGAAGCACCCTTTTGTAGTGGAGTCCTGTCCCAGTTAAGAGCTTAAGGGGGTGTCCCGACAACCATTAAAAGACCAGTTTCTTAGGAACCTCCCAAGAGAATTCGCTTCGGCCAAAGTGACCGTAGCAAGCTGTCTTCTGGTAGATGGGCTTCCTTAAATCCAGATCCCTAATGGTTGAGCAAAACAAAAAAACAGAAGGATACAAAGTGTTTGTGAGTCTTTTTATTCTTATTTGCTTCTTTAAAGGTAAAGGTAAAGGTTCCCTTGCTTGAAAGCCAGTCAAATCCGACTCTAGGCTTGCGGTGCTCATCTCCGTTTCAAAGCCGAAGAGCCAGCGCTGTCGGAAGACATTTCCGTGGTCATGTGGCCAGCTTGACTAAACACCAAGGCGCACGGAACGCTGTTCCTGTCCCACCGAAGTGGTACCTATTTATCTACTTGCAATTCCTTGCTTTCGAACTGCTAGGTTGGCAGGAGCTGGAACTAGAGACGGGAGCTCACTCCGTCATGCGGCACCCGGGTCTTGAACTGCTGAACTACCGACCTTCCACAGCCTGCAGTTCAGCGTCTTAACCACTTGAGCCACCGCAGCTCCTATTTGCTTCTTTATTATAGTATAAAAACAGTTATCAACTAGGGCCCCGTTCACACGCCGAATTTGCCGCAGGGGAGCCACGAATGTCGGGCGGATTTTCCGGGTGCGATCATACCGCAACATCTGGCGGGCGTAGCGCACCCATGGCCAACCCGTGGCGTCCCGCCGAAAACGAGCGGTTAAAAAGCACCTGCACAGAAGTACTGGCAAATGGTTTGCCACGGGCTGCCAACGGACTCTGTCCGTGTGATCACGCCAGTGCGGCTTTTCCCTCCGGACGTCTTTGTTGAAGTGCAGGCGCCGAGGGACAGAACCGTGGTGTGCCGCCGACGCGTCTGATCGCGTTCTGGCGGGTCTAACTGTGCCGGCGCGAATAGCCGCGCCTCCCCCCTGCGTTATCTAGCCCGTGTGACCGGGGCCTAAGTACTTTTTGCTAGCTCTGTGCCAACAATGTTCTGTTGGGGTCCTTCTTGGTTTGCAGGCAAGCTCAGATGAAAAAGAAGTAACAGCAGAAAGAACTAACTAAAAAGCCTACAGTGAGTGTTGAGTGATGTTTCACGTGCTTTGAGAAAGCAGCAGCCTTTGACAAAGGCTTACAAAATTATGCCTGGGATAGAGAAGGTAGAGAAAGAAGAACTTTTTTCTCTTTCCCACCATACAAGAACTCCTGGGCACTCAATGGAATTAAGGAGCAGTAGGCTTAGAGCAGATATAAGGAAGTACTTCTTCACCCCTAGAGCAATTTAACACGTGGAATTTGCCGCCATGGGAAGTGGTGGCAGCGACAAGCACAGACGGCTTCAAGAGGGGATTCGATAAACGTCTGGAGCGGAGGTCCATCAGTGGCTATTAGCTACAAGGTATTGATAGAACACTCTGTTTAGGGCAGTGACGCTCTGTATTCTTGGTGCTTGGGGGGCAACAGTGGGAGGGCTTCTGGAGTCAAACTGGCCCCACTGGTGGACCTCCTGATGGCACCTGGGTTTTGGCCACTGTGTGACACAGAGTGTTGGACTGGATGGGCCATTGGCCTGATCCAACAGGGCTTCTCTCATGTTCTTATATGAGGCAGATGGGGCTGAGAGAGCTCTTTTGAGAACCGCTTGTGAGAGAACAGCTCTGAGAGAACTTGTGACTGACCCAAGGCCACACCAGCAGCTGCATGTGGAGGGGGGGAAACAGCATGTCCCGCCTTCTTGCATGGGGTGGGCAGAGTGGACCAAGAGAACTTTTTCTTCCTCTCCCAAAATACTAGAACTTGAGGGCATCCAGCGAAGCTGACGGGCAGTAGGTTCAGGACGGACAAAAGGAAACCCTTCTTAAAATGTGGCCTTTGCTGCCGGAGGATGTAATGATGGCTGAAGCACAGATGGTTTTAAAGGGGGATCCGACAGATTCGTGGAGAACAGACCTAGCCGTGGCAACTCGAGGGAACCTCCACGTTCAGAGGCAGTCAAACTGTGAATCCCAAGAGCCAGGAGGTAACATGAGGGGAAGGCCTCAGCCTCTGTGCCCTGTTGTGGGACCTCAGAGGAACTGGTTGGCCACTGTGTCAGACAGGATGCTGGACTAGATGGACCGCTGGTCTGATCCAGCAGGGCTCTTCTTACGTTCTTCTTGAAAGACTGGCAGGGCGCATACACATCCTAGATTAAAACTGCTGCCCTGCTAGCTAGAAAGCCAGAAGGGCTCTGTAGTTGTTGGGGGGTGGGAGGGGGAATAATCCAGTGGTATCGCAAGGGTCCTGCTTGCGCACAGAGACATGGCTGCCGTCACAACCCAAATGCAGCAGACGAGCATTTACCTGACAATGACTCCCGGCCGAAGATCAAAATTCTGGTGCACGATGTTCAGCAATTCTTTCTCGGGTTTTACGCAGGTGCCGTAAGTAAACAGTGAGATTGAGAGAGGCTCGGCCACGCCAATGGCATAGGCAACCTTTTCATTGAAAGAGAAAAAGGAGAAAAAGCACAACGTTTAGACTCGGCTCACATATGCCAATGTGTTGATCATGTTGTCATCCCACGACCTTGCATGTGCAAAATAGCCAACAAGCATGGGGAATTTCACATTACCCAGTTTCACCCGGTTTCAAGCCGGTAATGATCCGTTTTGAAGTGAACCAGTATAGGGCTGCCATTTCACACATGGCTTTCCCCTTCCGGTAAAGAGCTGGATCTGAAGCGGTTTGCCATTTCAGACTGCACCGCTTTTTCCCGCTTTTCCCCCACCGTTTTTCGCCTGTGCGGGCGATCTCCGGCTTTTTTTTTTTTAATGGTCGCTTTAAAGCGCTATAGCACTATAGCAGTATTTAAAAACACCATGCATTCCAATGGGATTGATATAATGCTATTCCATTATAGCGCTATAGCGCTGTAAAGCAAATGTTTTTAAAAAGCCAGAGATCGTCCGCGCGGGCGAAAAACGGCGGGAAAAAGCGCATCAGAACTGGGAGTGGAAACTGAGGAGTACTTGGAAGCAGTTGACAGGTAAAACACTTCAGCCCCGTTTCCTAAACAGGACAGAAGCGATTTGTGTATGAAATGACAAATATATTCTGGAAGGGAACCAGTTCTCAAACGGTTCTGTCTGAAATGACAGACCAGAAACTGTTTGGGAACCATTGCTCTTACGGAATATATCGCCTGTCTGAAATTCCTCCATGACTTTAAACATGGAATTGCACCATCTATGTAGAAAGATGGTGGGAGGGGCTGTTTTAAAAGGAAAAGAGGCAGAGAGGGAGGGAACCATTTATCACTGGAAACATCATACATCTAGCAGCAATTCATTCTTCAGCCTATTGCTGGGAGGGAAAGCAAGAGTCCACGAGCACCTTAAAGACTAACAGAATTTGTGGCGGGGAATGAGTTTTCGTGAGTCACAGCTCACTATCGGAAGAAGAGAGCCGTGACTCACACAAGCTCCTCCCCTGCCACA